TKKAGTTTCTTATGGGTACAAAAAAAAAAATCGAAATACAAGGAATGATAAAACAAAGCAAAAAACCAGCTTTCGTAGTTTCATTTCTTCCGTCCGGCTTTTCCGTTTTTTTTCTGAAGAATTCAAACCATAGCAACATGCAAAGGTTGATATAGTGCCATAAACGAAATTCTTCTTCTGTTTATCGGAATTTAATATGAAATGACATAAATTCCTTTACATGCATTTCATACAAAGCAAGTCATATCTCTTTCTCTTATTTTTCATTTTTTCTTTCTCTTTCTCTTTCTCTCTGTTGATTATTTGTTAAAAACTAGGATGGACTATGGTATTCAAAGCGGTGTCTGGTATAGGATCTGATGTTTATCATTTGTGGTCCGCCTCAGACGCCTTATTCGAAAAGCAAATTGAATCCTTAAACTTAAACTCTTCGTTTAAAAATCATTACAAGAACCGCCTGGTGAACAAATGGCAAACTTTTGGTCCTAAGAAGGTACGTTTGACTGTGTTTTTTTCTAACTGTGTGTGTCGGAGGGCGCGGTTTGACTAGGGTCATGTGAAATGAAATAAATTCTTAAAAAGTTCTTAAGAGCCATGGCCACTGACCGTAAATATCGAGAATCCGCCAACAGTTGCAAAATTTAGTAATTCGTTTTATTTTTTCTAAAGGACCCTTTTAATGAACCTTTTTCGGAAATTATATCAAAAAGTTCTATGGTGCTTTCTTTCCTCCGAAAAATAGAAAAGTTCAAAATACGCCTGAATGGCCGTTGTCCCCCCATTAAAGCAATGAAAAATTATGCAACTTCGGCAACTTCGGCAACTTCGTACGCAACGATGCGACGCAATCCCGCTTTTAAATTTTGTGTGCTAGCGGATGGTCCTATCATATCTCGGAAAAAATTAATTTCTTGCTATGTTGTTACCTTTGAGACTGAATAGTGACCAGTTGAAATAAAGTCCTTCGCGTCTCTTTCGCGGAGGTAATATAACATCAAAAGCTTTAAGATGACGTACATCATATATGACGTACATTATGATTTGTTAGTATATATGGCAGACCTGTCTATAGACCACTGAAGTTGACCTCTGTTTTACCTCCGCGAAAGAGACGCGAAGTACTTAATTTCAACAGGTCACGATTCAGACTTAAACGTAACAGCATAGCAAGAAATTAACATTTTCTAAGAGATGAAAGGACCATCTGCTAGCGCCCAAAATTTAAAAGTGGGATTGCGTCGCGTTGTAGCGTACGAAGTTGCCAAAGTTGCATAATTTTTTCATTGCTTTAGGAGGGACAACGGCCATTTAGGCGTATTTTGAACTTTTCGATTTTTCGGAGGAAAAAAACCGCGATAGAAATTTTTGATATAATTTTCGGAAAAGGTTTATTCAAAGGGTCCTTTAGAAAAAATGAAATGAATTACCAAATTTTGCAACTGTCGGCGGATTCTCAATATTCACGGTCAGTGGCTCTCAAATGTTTTAAGATTCAGTTCCACAATCAGTCTTTTAATACGCCCGTCCGGCGGTCGCTCGGTCAGTAGGTTCATCAGTCAGTCAGTCAGTCAGTCACTCGATTGTTCACTTAGTCCGTGGTCTGTCAGTTAGTTGATCTGTGGGTACATCACTCAGACTCTTGGTACCTTAACTCGTTCGTCTGTCTGTAAATCAGTCAGTCCCTCTGTTAGTCAGCCCATTTGCCTGGTCCTCGTCCATTCGTCCATTTCTCCGTCCATCTGTCCCCTCTTGAGTCAGTCAGTTGGTCAGTCAGCCAGTAAGCTTGTCCGTTCGTCGCTCGTCGGTCGTTTAGTTACTCAGGAAATTTTTAAAACAATCATTTCGAGAAAGTTTGCTGCCGAGAGACCTTCAGCGTGCCTCCTTTCGGATGTAGATGTAAAAGATGTAAAAGCACCCTAGTGCTGGTAGAAAAAGTGAGTTTTTGTGCTCCCAGAGAAAACAAGAGTTCACAATAAGATGAAGAGGATGGAGCACAAACAGACGTGGCCACCATGCATGATGGGGCTGTCATGCATTCACCAAGTTATTCTATCAATTACAGTCAGCCGGTTGACCAGATATTCGATCGATCAATTAGATATCCAGTCGTTGCATACGTTTTATCATTTATTTTCGCAGGCTCGCGTTGCTCTTTACAAAGATGGGAGTGAATTGTTCTCAATTATGTTTGACGCCTCAAGCAGCAACAACCAAAACTGGTTTACCAAAGATCGAGTCATTTCTTCACCATGGACTGACTTAAAAAGCAATCTGCCTCAGTACTTCTCTAGTACTGGGGCTAATGGACGAAGATTTTATATCAGTGGGCCCCACTTCAGTTGTGATTGAGACCACGGATGGCTTTCTATTACCCAGCACCACTGTGCTTTCGAAAAAAGCCTCCCGATTACATCTTTCATATACAGCAGTCTTCAAACCAACACCAACTGGAATGTTCAGGGTAAGAAAATCGAGTGGGAAAGTGAATAAAGTAGCACCGTAACGAAATGGACCACAATAGCCAATCAGAACTTAGGTAAATGCACAAGGCGTCAATGAGAATTAAAGGTAAAAAAGGGTGGGAAAATTGACACAAGTGACCAGGTCGTTGTTGATTTAAACTTCGCATCAGATTGGCTGAGGGGATGACCAGAGTTTTCTGAACGAAGAATAGAACGCAAAGAAGCAAAGCTGATACAATCCAAGAATACTTTCAACATTACATTAAAAATTTTTTTTAAGCCTACAAATTTAGTTTCATGTTCAAATACGCTTCCACATGTATAACTGTAAAGTGCCTATTTATTTTTCCCGCTGTTGTCTTTTGCTTTAGAAAATGTTGGTCTCGCAGATGTCCTTGTGGTGTACATTCGCTGAGGTAAATTAAAATTTTAATCTGATGAAGAGCTAACGCTCGAAACTTCAGCTTTGAAACTCTTTACGGTGGCCAATTTACGTTATCAACTCAGTTGATAAAACCAAAATTACCTTGTTATACTCAGCACCAAAGAGCTACTGGAAAGGGTAGGCATGAAGCCACTGAGTGCGGAAGTGATGTCTCGTGGATGGAAAATGATTGGTCATATTCTTAGGAAAGATCGTAATATTGATTGCAATGCTGCTATGAACTGGGCGCCAGAAGGTAAAAGGAGAAAGGGAAGACCAAAAGCCACTTGGAGACGAACGGTAGAGAAAGAAAGGCAAGAGGCAGGTTGGAGGTCGTGGGAGGAGGTGCAAACAGCAGCAACCAATCGAGAGGAGTGGAAGAGCTCTGTGAAGGCCCTAAGTGGCACGAGGCATGAAAAGGATTGATACTCCACCACCGACACGGCACGACAGTCTCTTTAGAAACTTCCCCGCTTTAAAATTTTAAGTGGCTGTTTTAATGAAATTACCACAGCCTCTTGTAAACCGGAAGAAAAGATTTCTCCTAGACGCTTTTAAACCTTTCAACCCTAAGAACTGTATAAACTTTACCAGGTTCGCATTTTTACTGTTCTTTTTCTGAAAATTTGGTGACAACAACCATAAGCCCAGCTTATCATAACTTTTTCACTTTCAAGTTCGTCAAAAGCATTTGGAGAAAACTTTCATCGATCACTCGTGGAATTTAAAGAGTTAAATTATTCTGTTTGATCAGTTTTGAAACTTTTATTTGATTCTGTGTTTGTTATATCTTGTGCAGATGTTAACGACAATTGGCTCATCTGACATGAGGTGTGTCTTAACTTTGACATAACCGAGCTTCCGATAACATCAAGAATCAACAAAGATAAACATCTGCTCAGAACTGAGAAATCCCAAAAAAATAACTAACAGAAGATAATAATTTAAACTAGATTGACGTGATGTCCATGATAGCAAAAGATCTGTTTGAGGAAACATTTGCGTTGAAACCACATATTGACACTAACAATACGTTTTATTCGATAAATGTAAATGAGCTTGCACGTAGGCCGAAATAAACTTTCTTGTCTTATTTGTCGTATACAAATTTCATTTATCATATTGATTTTGTAGAGAAAAACCAATAAATAGTCTCTCGCTCAATATCTAGAT